TAGTAGTAGTAGTAGTAGTAGTAGTAGTAGTAGTAGTAGTAGTAGTAGTAGTATCATTATTATTATTGTCTATCTCCAGGCGCAATGTTCTCAAGCATTGCAGTGGTGGAGACTGTATGCAACATGGCGGCCTCTTCCGTGTTCAACAACATCTACGCTGCCACTGTGGCCACCTGGGCCGGCACTGTCTACGTGGTCATGGCTTCTTTTAGTTTCTTCACTTTTTTATTGTTTATGTGAGTAGTTAATTATTCACGCCACTTACAAAAATTAGCAATTGCAGCCATTTTCTGATCTTTTAATGACAAGCTGATACCTCAGAACTGCAAAGTTTTATCATCTGCTTTTATGATATCCGATGTAAAAAAAATTTTCCGAATGCAATTCTTTGAATATCTCGATAACGTCTCCAAATAGTCTTACGAGTTGGTTAGAATAGATAAAACATTGATTTGATTACTGACCTCATGGTCTTAGTACCTCAAAATGGCCCGAAAATGCCAGATAGAACTTTGTAGTTCTGAGGTAGAGAAATGTCACATCAAGAAAGACATCCCAACAACGGTGACCAACCAATTGCAGTATACCAGTTAGTTGGGTGAGGGGAGGGTAGACGTGACACTAGATTTTGCGACTTTCACGATTTTTAAAGAAATTCCAGAAATCAAGTTATTTGCGAAATGTCACACTGGACGCTACTTAATAAGTACATGTGACACTGGATTACTCAAATCATGAATTCATGTAACGACCAAAACAACCCCCTCCCCGAAAAAACAAACCGATATTTCAAAAAAAGCGGAAAAGAGCGCTCAGGGGAAGAAAATATAGATGTAGGCTACATTATATCTTCGCAAGTCGTTAAGTGCGTGAAGGGTTTGGTTTTTCGTCTTTATTTTCTTCAGTTGAATGTTCTCCTCTGACCGCAGTGTAGAGACTACTCCCTAGGTCACTGATTATCTTTCCATTGGCCTGTTCTTTTTTTTTCTCCTTTTTAAAGAGAACGTTGCCATCCAATAGATATAATAGAGGCCGAAGCCTGACCAGCTTCAGGTAGCGTCTGTCCCACTTTGAACTCGGCACAAGGTCAAAAAGTCGGGAACAGATAGCCTACTACACTTTGATCTTTGACACAAGGGCGAGAAGTAAGCTAGCTGCCTGTGCGTGCCTGTGTGTAAAGAGTGATCGATGAAACGTCCTTTTTTTCTTTCCTTGTCGTCGCTGGCATCCAGTTGGGCGTTTACTTCTGTTGGTAGTTGTAAAAAGGTAAATGTGAAGCAGCGTGGTGGAATCAGGCTCTCGTCAAAATAATGAAATCGAAGAAAACAGCAAGTTTCTCCCTGCTTAGCAATTTTTATCAATTTTGTTTTTGGCTCAACACCTTTTATGTCCATTTACAAACATATTCCTTCGAGGATTTCACCAAAAACGTTGATTAAAGGCATAAAAATATAAATTTACAGTTTCCATGGACTCTAGAGCTTTGGAATTTACAAAGCTTTGGCCGCCATTTTCTCGCTAATTTTACCTCTTAAACCAAGTGACCCCACCTCCTTCTATCCAAAATATCTCCACTTCTCTTGAAGATGGATGGGAATTTCTTTCAATTAAAGCAAGACAAATGAACAAGCTTTAAGATGATACCAATAACTCAATATGCCCAAAAATTGACGAGAGTCTGATTCCACCACGCTGCCTCACAAAGGAATAATAATTCTGAAAAACAGATAAGTTGATAACATGGAAGCCTGGGTACCTGAACGTGTCATCTCTGACTCGGAGGTTGACATATAATAACCCTCCATCCGTCACGATCGCGAGCTACCAATGCACATTCTGCGATACCCAGGCCAGTCCATGTTTTTATGTTGACAATATTGAACATTCAATCTTTTATCCTTACATCTTCACAATAGATTTCCTTCAGGCAGGCGGCTTCATCGACCCTGCGTTTTAAGAGCAACATGACGTATGCATTACGCTGCGTTCAGACAGAAAGAGGGAGATATTTCAGATATTAATATTATGATGTAATTCATGTGAGAATCGAACCAAAATCATCTGCATGTGAGATGAAGAGCCGTACAATTTGTTCCACTAGTCCTAGTAGACAAATAAATTCCTTTTAATTAACCATGCCGTACGTTTATATTCCTGTAATTTGTTTTCTCTGCAGACTGTTTTTCAGTGTCAGAGAGCCAGAGACGAAGGAGGTTGTAGTGGTGGACCCTGACCACTCTATCCAAACTCCAGAATTTGAAAACCAGGAAAATGTTTTGTCTTGAGCTGCTGCGCTTTAGGCTGGACTCGTGAAATTAAAATGTTTGTCTTTGTGCTTGTGCGTGTGTGGGTTTTTTTGTGAGTATGTGTGTATGTTTGTATGTGTGTGTGCGTGTGTGTGTGTGTGTGTGTGTGTGTGTGTGTATATGTGTG